GAAGCAGCCTAATCAACACTGCACACGCACATTAACTTCTTACAATTCAATTATCTTTGAAATTAAACTTATGGCAGGTTTCCTTTACACTGTTGTGTAGAGGCAAGGCCAGGAACCACCTGAAAACCAAGCAGTTCCCGGCAAAACAGAGAGGACTCGCAATAGCCGAGGGGTATCCCGGGGCCTTTGCATTCTTTCTGGACACACAGATTTGTTTGGTCTCCTTTTATCTCGGCCCACAGCGAGCTACCCAACACCAAATCAATATGCCAAGGGGAATCTGGCTGCATTTTGAAATTATCCTAGGTATGCTTTGGGTGCCAGGTAGCTTGGCAATAAGTAGCATTTCACAATAGTAATCATCTTTTCCACTGATTTTAAATAAGACCTGGTTCCTCTGCTAGCACAGGCCTCAGTACCTGCCTACTGCTACTGATTACTGCAGTTACCGTGCTCTATCAATCTTCTAACATAGCTCTATCCAAATTATAGGTTTCACAGCTCAACGTAAAATTTCAGTTAAACATCAACCATCCAAAAAGCCTGAAGAACGGCTCTGAGCCATTAGTTACTCTGATCTCCCAGGAAAAGCACACAGAGAGGACCAGATTGCTTAAGCTAATTAAAATTCATTGTAAAAATTCATTCCCCAGCCAGGCACGACAGGTTTAGAGAGAATAGGCATTTTTTCCTATCACAGGTATCACACCCCTGTTGTGAAGGCAAACCTAGACTTAAGTTTAGACAGGGAGTGATTCCAGCTCGCTGTGCCGTGCCAAGTGGGGGGATTTCAAGCAGCAGCGAGCTCCTGGTGGGGCAGCCAGGGTGCAGTAGCCCCTACGTGCACCCACCGCAGCGCACGCCCGCTGCATGCTGCGCAGCATCCCCGCTGATGCTATTCACAGGGTACAGAGGTGCTATAAAAAAGATTAAAAAAAAAATTCTCTTACACAGTCCAGCTGTACCTCATCTGGTAGCTGTGCTGCAGGACAGTACCATTGGATACAACAGCATCTGGAGAATCTCCTTCAAGCAGGGACCCCAAAGCAGAACACAGACATGTCCTGACCCGCGTGCATCCCGCATGCACTGATGTTTACACACACAGCAGGAGCCTGTGTAATTTCTGGCACTGGAGTGAAACCACTCACACCTCAAAGAACGGAACAGACCAAGAAGTTCACTGCTAAAACAATGATTTCTGAAAAGTGTCTCTCCTTATCCCATCTTTGAGCAGGAGGGCATGGACTGGCAGCCACTCCGCTGTGCAGAGATTTCCCATCCTCAGACGAAGCAGCCACCAGCCCAGGGAATGGCCAGTTTCTGCTCCGGGATTCAAGTTCTTTGTGGATCTAAAAACCTGGAAAAAAATCACCAGCATGTGGGCACAGGCAGAAACACAAGAGGTCTTTCTGCCAAGGAGTAAATCACAGAGTCAGCCTGGATTCACAGAAGTTCATGTTGCAGGAAAGTACCAAGTCAGCATGCAGTGTAAGGGAAACCTTTAGCGACAGAAGGAATCCCCAACACAAAGCTAAAACAACTTTTGAGCCTGAGCAGAGCATGGGCCTGAGTAGGTTCATTGCGAAAGGCTCGCCAGCAGCGTGGGTGTTATTTTGTGTAAGTTACCATGACAGTTTAAATGGTTTAAAAACAAAACTTTGCAAGTAAGGCACAACTGTTATAGCCAGTTCCTGTTTCCAAAAAGTCCAATGCCAGCAGTGCCGAGAGCCTGCCAAAGGCAATAGGGAACCTGGGAGACAAGGTGCACAAGGGCAGTGTGGATTAGGCGACGGTGCCAGTGTCTTGTACACAAACCCAACCTGCCTCCTCAGCTCTCCCACAAGATACAGATGAGTCCTTGCATAAAAGGAGAAATAAAGCACTGAGGTGATGAAGTGGTGACACTCACTTTCCTCATGCAGCACCTGAGAACTCAAGAAAATTGTGCAAAGATGGAGTCAGCAGCTTTGGGGAGGGATTTCCACCTCTACTTAACTAGCAGGGGTTTTGGGGTTTTTTTTTGACAGCTTCAGGAAACAGAAAAGTCTCACCAGCACAACTTGGCACTGGGAGTGCTCAAGTCTCAGGCAAGAAGGCATTAGTGAAGGGGGGAGGGGGAAAAAAAAAAAAAAAAAAACCATCATATCCAGAAACATGATGGACAAGAAAGTGACAGGGCACGGCCATCATGGATGGGTAAATTCCAAGGGTTAATTGTGCCTGACAAACCCAATAACCTCCTGTGCAGAGATGCCTGGCTGGGTGGATGGGGGGAGTGCAGTGGGTAGCTTACCTTGACTTTAAACGGGTTTTGGCACAACTGTCTGAAGAATCCATATAGCCAAATTGTTTTGATAACAGTTCAGATAGCTGCATGGAAAACTGGCAGGATGCCAGGCTCAGAGGGTTGTGATCAACAGCACAAAGTCCAACTGGCAGCCCATTACTCATGGCATTCCTCAGGGGTCATTAATAGGGCTAATATTGTTTAATGCCTTTATTTACTACCTGAAGACAGAGCATGCCCTCAGCAAGTTTGAAAACGATGCCAAGCTGTGGGCACGGCTGCTACACTGGGCAGGGCTGCTCTTCAAAGGCACCTCATTCCCTCAACAGGCCAGAGAAACGGCCTGACAGGAACCTTGTGAAACTTAAAGGAAAATACAAATTCCTGCTCTTGAGCAACCTCACCTCAGTTGGCCCTGCTCCGAGTCAGGGGTGGACCACAGACCCTCAGAGCTGCCTTCCTACCTGAATTAGTCTGCGACTCAGAGTAATTCATGTAGCCAGCTTCGTGCTTACAGAGGACTGGCAAGATTATTTTCAGGCGTATTTTACGGGCTATGTAAAGTCCGTTGTAAACTCACACAACTTGTTCTTCTCTCACGCCCATCTTCCTGCACACTCTACCTGAGGCTTACCCTGAGGCAGCAATAAAAGCAGAGCAGGAATTAACAGCACAGACAGCGACACGAACAAGCCGTGAAGAACAGGCTGTTTTCTCAGACAGAATTGCACTCCACCTACACTCAAACCCTATTGTCATTTGGGAACATGCTACTCTTGGTTCTCTTCACTGGCTCCAGGACTCATTTCAAGCTACTCCTTTGGAGAAAAGTGGGGAGAAAAGGAGAGAATGATTCAGTTTCCAGCCTTCTTTGCAAGAGCCTGGCTGAGAAGCAGCTGTTGACTGCTTCTTGGTCGAGCGACAGCGGTGGACATCTCTGACTAAGGCAGCATGTCTTACCACATGCCAGAAGAGCTAGAACCTCAAACAGGAACTTGTATCAGCGGAGCTCATCTCCTCTGATGCTTCCTTCCGTTGAGCATCTTCTCCAGAGACCCAGAGGAGCAAACTGAGGACCGAGGAAAGCTATGGCTAGCCTTCAGGAGCTCACATTACCTACTCAACCATAATGGCGTTAAAACACTCATTTATCAGTTCTTAAAGCAGAGTTTAAAAATACAAGATGCCAAGCTTAAAAATACACATTTTCTTTTTGGAAAAAAAAAAAAAGTACAGTCAGGTTTTAGTGAATCTACAAGACACTCAGCCATCTTAAAGCAAAGTAAACCTTTGCAAAGCACTGCATATGGATTTTTCTAACCAGCAAGAGCTAGTGAGTTGGGTAAACTGCAGTGTTTGCTGAAAGTGGCTTTTTTTTGTTTTGTTTCCACCCTGTAGGCCCAGACACTTGAAAGGCAGCACAGTGCCTTCACGCTGCAGAGCGCCAGGTTAGTTCTCCTGTCTCACTCTTGCACTACAGACATTGCTCAGCGTGAGGCTGGTGTGGGCACAGTGGGCAAGGGCAGTTCCATGGAGGGAGTCTCAGTCACTTCAGCTGGACTTGGCTTGCGAAGCTCCAGTTTCTCGGTGAGTTGGTTATAAAGCTCCTTCACAGCTTCCCCACTCTGCAGGATGAGAATTAGGGAGGGGAGAAACAGAAGAGTCATACTTCACTCTAGCTGCTACGAGCTAGAACACCAAGTATGCAATTACCCTGTGTGTTTTAACACAAACCAACACAGAAAGAGGAAGTTACAAGGTAATTAAGACACAACTTGGTACACTTGGAAAGCAGAGCTTGTGTTCCATTAAGCAACGTCTGGAATGGCAGCTGCTTTCATTTGCAATTAATTCTCCCTTTCTCATGCTTTCCTTCTTACCTGCTTGGTGGGTTCCAAAGCCTTCTGGAGAGACTCTAATTTGGCAGGCGCCACTTTGTGATGCAGATGAAGCAGCAGTCTTAGCACATGTCTATGTACATTCTCCTTTCTGCAAAAAGCAATTTTAAAGCAGAGTAACTGATATAAACAAACACCATCTTGAGAACAAGAAGGCTACAGCAACAGCACCAGAATAATTCACACACCCACAGACTGGCAGCTTTGTTATAATTTTCCAAAACACCTGAGAATTGTAGCCTGCGTGCTACAAAGCGCTAACCCTGCCTTAGACTTTCAAGCAATTCATGTAATTTTTCGACAGGAGTGGCCTAACTGTAGCAATCATGAGGAAAGAGGGGGAGATTTTAAGCAGAGACTGTAGCACATGGCAGCAGCTGGTCTCTCTTTTGGACAGGCCATATGCACATGCAGGAGGATGTTTGTCCCTCCATATTGCTTGGAGGAAGTGGTAGCAGCAGCAGCACATGCTTCTATGCCTGAACAGCAGTTCTAATCACTTTTGGGGAAGTCTCCTGGAGGTTAGATCTGGTCTGCAGGCCACCGGTTGAACCACAGCGACTTAACAGAATTAACAGATACAAACAGATTTTCTGTGTGTCGCTGGTACTGCAAAGAGCTGAAGTTAACTCTTCATATTCACAGCTACTGCAAAGCAGAAGGATATTGTCTTTTACAACTCCAGCTTACGAATAACAAATTATACTTTAAGTAATAATTTATAATCAACACTTAACAATTTTGCTGATAAAAACTTGATCACAAAATATAAGCCTTTCCTTAAAGAAAAACAGCACCAGGCTACTTCCACTACATGTGAGGAGTTTGCTGAACTATTAAACTACAGTTCAAAGTAGCATAACCTCTCTCAGCTATCCTGTAAACTCACTTCCCCTGAGGAAAATCAGATTTACCTTGAGCAGGCAGTGAGAAAGAAGCCATCAAAGAGACTGGTGCAGAACTCCTCAAGTGCAAATTCATCACCCAGAAGCGTGAGGTTACCAGTAAGCAGATGCAGAAAAATATCACTGAAGGCCAAGTCACTGAACGTCTCAACTGTACAACATGAAAAGGAAAGAGACTGAGACCAACAAGGGTGTGCCAAAACCTGACTACAGAGCAGATGTTCC